TCAATAACAAACAATTATTTAAACTATAGGACCCTGTAGAAGTCTAACTTTTTTTTGTACTTGAGAAATACTTTATTAGCTGGCATAGTTCTGATAAAATCAGGAATCTGACAGGATTTGATATTTTAAAATTAAATTTCTCTTCACTCAATTGCTTCTGAGTAGTAAGGTCTATGATTTCCAAGTGCCAAATGGTAATTTAGTGTACAAATATACATACCATAGAAACATTAAATTTTTTTTTTTTAATTTAAGAAATTGGCTGTACCTGATAACATCAAGGAAAGAATAGTCTGATTTGGGGGCTCCTGGTTTTCATTGGTCTGATGCTCCACAGGATGGCCTGTAATTTTTTTCCTTTTTTTAAACTCAGACTGGCCTCTTTTAGCAATTTTGCCTGGTGTTTGGGTCCTGTGGGAATTTACTAGCTTGCTTTATGGCCTTTGGCCAATCCTGGTGGGAAGTCTAGAGAAGAATTCATTTCTGCTTTTTCCCAGAATACTTGTTGACAAACTCAGCGGCACTGAAGTGTTACACGAGTCTTTGTGTCCCCCAGAGTCCAGTGATAAGGGGACATGAGCCCAGCAAGGGTCAGTGCTTCTGGGAATATAATGTTGGCTCTTAGAATTTACATATTTTTCTCATGAACTTTTAACAATTTTTAAAACAAACTCAACAACTGTGATTTTAGGAGGGAATGAGAACACAGCCCACTGCTTCCCTCTGGAAGCATTTTAAGCGTTTAGCTTTTCAGAAAACAATCACTTCTTTTTGATGACCATGACTTCAAATACCCTTCCTGCCAGGCCAGTGATGACTCATAAAATAGCAATGGATTTCAGGAATTCACTCTTTGAATTTGGGTGCTTGCAGGTTCTCAAATTTGTAACTGGATGAAATGATACACAGCAAGGGACTTCTGTTTGAAAGATTAAATCCAAACTCAGACACTAACAGCCATGTGTCTTGTGCTCTCAAGAAACGTCTGTGAAAGTGCTGCATTCTGAGTGTTTGATATGCCTGTCAGCAGCAAAGAGCCTTCAAAATTTTTTAAGCTAGTAACTGTAAACAAAACAATGGCCCCACATCACTTAGTCCACTCCCTTTAAATGCAGATCATTTGTTCTTGACATCTCAGATGCGACTCTTGTGGCCAGGCTAGAATTCAACTGTGTGATAATACTCAGTTGCCCTATGAAACCCACTTTTTGAAAGGGGTCAGCACTATCTAGAAGAGTTAAAGAATCCTGGCTTACTCTCAAGAACTACTGTAACTCAGTCAGTTTTCCTGTGGTTAAAATGAGTTGCTTCTTTTGAAGATTAAATGAGGTACATGTAATCATTAACAATCGTGCTAGATATATTTTGAAGTACAAAATTTTACATGTTCCAGAATGACAGCCCCAATGTGTCTTATAAAACATATTCCTAAAAATGTATGCTTTATACTATCAATGAATAGTCAAAATGCAGAAACAGTGTGATTTTCCTCTCTCAAAGCAGGATGTGTTTATTATTGAAATGTTAGAAATAAGACTGTAACTGTTCTAAGATCAAAGCGGCAGTGCTCAGATTCTCAATCTTACCAGTTCTGTGATTCAATCTGCCCTCCTATAAGACTGAGAGGAATATGTATACTTACATTTACATAGCACCTTTCTTCCTAGTATATCTAGTGTTGTTCACATTCACTATGGCACAACATTCCAGGAAGAGAGGTTTGAGACATCACTAAGGGGACACTGGTGGAAAGAAATTTGCATAAGGTCCTGCAGTAAGTGAGTGACTGTGATTACATTTTATTTTATATTCCAATGCCTGTTAACCATGCAGTGGATTCCTTAGGATAATGTATATAAGGCACCTATCATAACGCAAGCACTCAGTAAATGATCATTGCTATTGTGTTGACGATAACAACTGGACTTCATGGGTGGGGTGCTGTACCTAGAAATTAAGCTAACAAAGGACAAAGATAAAGGCAAGGTCCTAAACTAAACAAAAACTGCCTCCCCATACCCTCAAACTAGCCAAGCAACCAATCCGAATATCTGCCACCACAACAAAGCCAACACCCCGAATTCAAAGGGTGCCCAGTGGGAGGGAAGCTGAGGTCATGAGTCCTAAGTCTCCCACCTGCTGCACTGACATCATTTCCAGAACTCCAACCTGAAAGGTGGTACACCCAGCTTATTCTGCTTGCAAGCTCCCACGGGGCTCCCCGGCTGGGGAGAAGAGGCAAATAAATCCCTTCTTCTCCAGGGAGCTAGCTCAGTCCTTCTCCCTCCCAGCCCCCATCTCTCAGGGTGAGGTTAGACTCTGCTGTGGATACAATTTTGGAGGATTCCCATGCCTTTTCCACAATTTGGGACTGTATGGTTCCAGATGAGATCTGTGCTACCAGCTCCCAGTCGAAGCTGTGGATGCTTTTAGTGCATGCCTGACATGCTTCTTAGAAGCTTTTTGGGAACCCCATGACGTCTCAGTCATGTTAGTTGTGTCTTTAGTCATCAGCTCCAAACAGTGGCTCTGATAAGATGGCCACCTGTCCAACAGGAAATGGACCCCAAACACTTCTCATTCCTATATACCACAAACCACTGGACAACTGTAAATACTTGTGGGTCATTACCATTCTAGGCTACTGTTGAACCAGTGATCTCAAATTGACTACTTTGTGTTCCATTTTCTTCCCTCTAATTCATGCCGTTCTTTAAATGCTATGTTAAGAATGCAAAGTTACAAAAATGATCTCCTTTCCTGCCTCACCTTAAGATGCCTTTTTTGGTTGTTCTATTAGAAAAGAATGCAAAACGCACAGCATTCAACAGACTTCCTTTGCAAAGAACAAGTAATACAAACAATAGCCTTATATAATGGATAGATTGCTTTTTCCTTTATCCTGTATGAATCTTCCTAATTGATTTCCCAAAAAGTCAAATAAGAGGCCAAGCTACATCCTGTGGTTCTAACCTCTACATAAATTGCCACCAAAAGCAATGGAAGATTTTCCAGAGAAAAAGCAGAAGAATAAGCCCCATTGTTCTGTAGCTGACTTAATTCTCCTCTGTGTTATGTCATACAAATACCTACAGCTTGCAGTTTTACAATGTACAGAAAAATGGAAATGTTCACAGAAAAGAAATTCAGATGTTTGGGAAGCAATATAAGAGAAATATCAGAGAAATGACTTAGGTCAGAACAGCTCATACAGGGAAGTATTTTTTTTTTAATACATTGAACAGATTAAAGAAGAAAGTAATATTTTAATAGGGTAGTGAAAATATAGCAGATTGACAGTGACAGCAGAAAAAGAACAGGAATACAGATATTTTCAGAGGATTAAAATGGTACCATGTACCCTCACACCAGGCAAGCTTTTATGAGAGGTCTCTAGACATATCTCTTGTATCGAGTAGATGGTTTTCCTTGGAGCTGTCAAAAATGCTTTGTGGGGCTTCCCTGGTGGCGCAGTGGCTGAGAGTCCGCCTGCCGATGAAGGGGACACGGGTTTGTGCCCCGGTCCGGGATGATCCCACATGCCGTGGAGCGGCTGGGCCCGTGAGCCATGGCCGCTGAGCCTGCGCATCCAGAGCCTGTGCTCCGCAACGGGAGAGGCCACAACAGTGAGAGGCCTGCGTACCGCAAAAAAAAAAAAAAATTGCTTTGTGGTTCTCTACATTAATTCATGTTGAATATTTTCCATGGTTGGTCGGACTTGGACTTAAAATAGATATGAGAAAGTTCTTCAGGTTTACTGTCAGTAACATTATTAACTTCAGAGCCAGCTGGATGATGGCATGGCATATGACCAATCCAAATTTAAAGGTAACCTTGTCTGAATCCTCCTGGTCCATCAAATATAAATAATAAAGTGAAGGTGCAGGAATAGAATTGCAAGGAACAGTGGGAGAAGCAGTCGTCAGAAAGAAAAACAAACACAAGAAAAAAAAATCTGTGACGTCACTCAGAAATGATGCTAATAATTGTGAGTTCTCACCCTACGGCCTCCACACACATGGGATTACTTGTGCTTCACAATCAGCCCCTGGAATCAGTAACCCTTCATGCCCCAATCATGTGATTTCCCAAAGGAAAACAATAGCCATATGTACCTTTAGCTGCAGCCTGCTCACCTTTTTATATGTTACTCCATTTTACTGTACTCTACCACTTGCCTCAGCGAGGAAAACAAACTTATGCCTTCATGGGCAATTGGAGATGTACTCAATTTCTTAGGTAACTGGGGAGAGAGGACGGGAATCAATCTCTAAGGATAATTATCCTTCTTACCCATCCAGTTTACTTTAAAGAAGTCTTCTGAAATGAGCTAATATATGTAAAACATCTGGCAAGGAGCCTAGTACATAATAAGTACTCTGTAATTATTAATCCCCTCTTTCTTACCTACCTTACTAAACTATGTACATTCCAACAGTCCCCAAGGTACCTTCTCTGCAACATCAAACAGGTGGCTGAGGTTGACAGACCAGAGCTGATCCCTGTCCTCGATAAATTTCTTATCCTTTAATACTAGTAATAGAGATAAAGCACTACTTAAAAAGGAAATGTCAGTCAATACATGCTATGTTTTCACTACATTTGAACCTTTTCACTGTAGGAACACAGCTGTTATGTTACATAAAGACTGTGTCCTAATGTTGATAACACTGATCACTGTTTTTTTGTGGCTAAAGCATAAACCCTAAGGATCTGCTTACTTAATATAATGGCCCATGTCTATTTAGGGGTGCTCCCAGACTTTTTAAGTGTGCAAAGAAGATAAATATGTTTTAAGTCAATCTGAGTTAGATTTTTGACTCATTAAAAATATTCTCCTTGGACCCAGATTGGGAGGTGACATCTGAAATTAAATTAAGTTGAGGACTTGCTAGGCATTCTCAGGGACTCAAGTAACACTGCAAACAATTCGTTTCAAGCAAAGTGGACACTCAGCTTCAGCTACAAGATTACTCTTCCGCAACAGATGGTTTCCACACCTGAACTGTGACACCACTTTTCTTTGCTGAGAACTTCGGCCTTGGTGCCACAAAGTAAGATGTCGAGGCTGATTCTTGCTTTGGAGAGGTGGGAATGGCCACGGGCACTGGGGAGGCGCTTACTGGTGAGGTGGCCTCAGCAAAGAAGGAAGGCTGAGAGCTATAGGCTGGCACTGAGTACACAGACGAGGCCTGCACATTAGTGGGCGAGCCAGCATTCACTGGCCGAGGAGGAATAGCTTGCTTCATGGCTGGCAGTGAACTGACCTTGACTGATGACTTTGCAGGGAGGCCATCCTTTGCATCTGGAGGTTGGAAAGTAAACAAGGATGCATTTAACTGATAAGGTTGGTGCTTCATGACATCCAAAGCATTAAGGGGTTTCTTGCCCTTTTTCTTGCTTGTTTTGGAGGCCTGTGGGGCTGATGGCTGGGACTTGACAGCAGCCAGTGGGTAGGAGGGGGAGTGGATGGGATTGTAGGCCACAGGAGGAGGTGCTCGGACATTGGAGGAGTACTTCCAGCCGGCCGGGAGAGATGGAGTGGGAGACTGAGCACGGGCAGCATGGGCCTGCACGGTGTCTGAATCTACCACGTACTTTTTCATCCTCGACTGCCTTTTAGCAAAGAGCTGGGCTCCTTTCCCACTCATTCCTGGAAGCTCATTGGATGGTCCCATTGCGCCAGTATGAGCAGTGTTTACCATTGGTGTGGGAGCTGATGGTTTGGGAGTGTAGTTCAGACTGGCTACCGATGCTTGTGGTCCTTTGAAGGGACCAGCCAGGCTCAGAGCACTAGCAGGCCGGGCAGTAGGGTAAGAAGGCTGCGCTATTTTGATGGAGGAAACAACGGTGCCATGTGATGGGTTGGATGTGGGGAAGGCAGGAGGTTGGGCTGGAGCCACTCCTGGCGACCAGACTGGAGAAACTGGAGTTACTGGTTGGGAGGATGAGGACTTGACAGAAGGCTTTGGAGCGACAGGAGGTGGGGTCTTTTGTTTTGCAGTGGGGCTTTGCATGAAATTACAAGCCTCTGCTCCTAAACTGAGGTAGTCTTCTTCTGGTCCGGAATCTCCTCCTGCCCCAGTGCCCTTTTTGCCTTCCGAATTTTGAAGAAGTGACAAGAGTTCAGGATTTGGGCTTACTTTGGGCTCTTTAAAAGTGAACATGGGTTTTGTCGTGCTTCTCCTTTTGGCCTCCTGCAATATTCCTGTTCTTTTTGCTGGCACCGCGATCCTTTCATCCCGGGAAGCTATTTGTTCAGATGAATCGTAAAAGGCTGGCTGGGACCATGGGCCAGGCTGGGGCCACGGAGGGAGCTGTGCTGGGCCAGCTGTCGGACTTGACACTGCTCTGGAAAAGGTTTCAGGTGGGGGTGTGACTGCAGAATAAGGTGGAGGCGCAGGAAAGTCAGCAATGGGACTGGTCATGTTTCGCGTTGGAGAGAAGGGGGTTGCTGGCTGGTTCACGGACCCCGGGAAGGGTTTGGCCGTTCTATTCATAGGGATCATCCTCTGAGCCTCTGCTGTCTCGGACAAGCCAGTGAAGCCATTCTGTTGGGGCACATGGCCAAGGCCACGGCTCACCTCGATGTAGCTTTTGCTCGCAGATCTCTGCACTCTCACCGATTCTTCTTCCTTCCTATGGTAAGATATCATGGTTCTCAGGCCATCCATCTGGGCAGCATCTGGTTCTCTGCTTGGCATTCCACTCACCCTCTCCTCCTCTTTTTGGGCTGTGATCTGATCCATTCTCTCCCTCCTCTTAGCAAACATGAGGGCCCCCTTGCCTGTGGTGTCTGGCAACATCTCCATCTTGTCCCCTCTGCTCAGTTTCTTTTCAATGTCCACTAGTCCAGAATCCCAGTCAAAGTTCACAACTTGTGTGTTGTCGTCAGTGTCAGACAACAACTCTTCCTCCACCTCGGATTCGCTTGCACCCAGAAATGCTACTTCACATGTATCCTCTTTGTCGCCTTCTTCCTCCTCCTCCTCTGCCTCTCGATCAAGTTCACCAGTCCCGTAACTGACTAGGGTGTATTTCCTGGCCCTCCGACGGCGCTTCTTAAACATCAACACCCCCTTGGAGTTGGGGTTGGGGGCATCTGTCAGAAGGAGCGCAATGCTTTTGCATTTAGATTTTGCTTCTTTCACCTGCTTTTCTGATTGGCTTTCACTCCTCCTGAGCCCTAGGGAAAATACAAAAATTATACTGAGTTGGCGAGTTCAAGGAAGACTCCATGGCAACCCAGAAATCAACTCTCCTGGGGGAAAATGAATGCAGAAAAAACATGTTTACAGTTGGGTACTGAATTTTGAAACAATCCAACTCATTTCTCTTTCTTATTTCTTTCAAAATATATACTTCTGTAATGATATACATGATGGTATAATACAGATATAATTTGTATATATATAATATGCCATTTCATTTTTTCCTGTGAATACATTTTATATATGTTGGTTAGAATATATGTTTCATAATTTGTTTCTGTATGGCTCCTTACACTTTAACAATAAACACTGGAAAATAAATGTCAGTTAGTCGGATGTAATTAAAATTACAAAGGAAAGAATTTAAGGACATAATATTTTCTGAAAACAAGTTAGGACATACCTTGCATTTCCATATTTAAAAAATAAAATGTTGATATAAAACATTTCCAAGCATTTTTAAAAAGTGGGAGGGGGAAACAAGAAAATATTGTTTACCTAAATGTTTCAATGTAATAAGTTTAAATATTTAAGTTTTCTGTTTCTTTTTTTTTACTTTGTCATTCTCCCAAAGTCTTTGCATTCACAGCTGCTAAATTAATATAAAGTCAAAAAACTGAATGAATAATAATTGAAGGTACCGAATCAATAATTAATAATAATTCAGAATACAAGATTATTGTGAATACATTTAAGAAATTTTAGCTACAAAGTTGTCTAGATAAATTTGTTTGTAAATTATTACCATCTTGGAAATATAATACTACTTTAGTTGCAGCAAGAATAAGTGTAAATCTTGGGGAAATTTTTAAATTATATTACTAGTGACTCTTATAACTGTGGGTGAAAACTGATGCGGAAATTAAGTCATGTAAAATGAGAACTTGACAGTTTTAAAATAACAAAAAGCTATATTTCAATTTTTAATTTTATTATTATTGTTATAAAAAATAAATTGGTGGCAAATTAATTTATAGTACCAGCTAATTATAATCATGTGTTCCATGATAAATGAGCATGGTTCACAAATAATTTTTGAGTTCCTCAAAATAGTTAAATGGAAATTTCAGAAAATCTTTCTGAATATTTTTTTAATTGGAAATCAGCTCTATTTTTCACTGGAAAAAATCAGACTTAATGGTTACTTTTTCAAAAATAAAATAGAATCAGAATAGTTTTATAACAAAATTACAGATATTCACTGGTAATCAAATTTTATTTAGAGAATATAGTAAAAAGTGTGGTCATTCCTAAATGTAATTCCTTTTTTGACTAGTGTTATACAACTTACTATTAAATTGACAGTCACAGTTGTTGCTAACTTCACTGCCAACATGTAAAATATGTGTGAGTGCTGCCTTAATGCACTTGTTTAATATGCTATAAATGTGAAGATGCATACAGATGCTTAAAGTATAAAGAATGATTAACATCACTTGCCAATTCAACTACAAATGGTTATGCTAAAAATACGCTTTAAAAGGAATAACAATAGTTAGGAGACTTAATATACTTTGAATAACCAAGATCATTACTTTTGTGTATCATTCATACATTCAAGTGCCTTTGACAGTCAGTTTTTACCTCTTCAAATGAAATTCCAAATTTGTTTCTAAAAAGCACATGAAAGAAAATAGCAAAAATCATAAAACCTAACTGCCATTCTTATCTTCATTCTCCAATCTGTAATCGCTCCCCTGGGTAAAACAAAACACTGTAAAAAACCTTGACTTTAAAATATATTTTGTGTTGGGGGACATTTAAATGCCTCCACATGGCCCTGGGGATTGACTTTTGTGTCTAGAAGGTAGATGAAACGCTTTGCGGTCTAGTGAAGACTTACAAAACGGAGAGGATCATGTAACTGCTTAGTATTCCACATGTCCTTGTCCGTCAAACTCACTTCTGCAAGCATCATCATGCTGCACAATGATTTTTTTTCAAAACGAGGATCTGCTTTTAATATCAGTGGTGGAGACTATATTTTAAAGACACCTCTCAGCAGCAGACTCAACAGTTTTTGACAGTTAAACTCAGCATCCACATGACTTCAGATACCCTCAGATGCTATTTTAACATGAAATATCACAATATTCTGAGACAAATCAAAAAGGCACATTAACAGTATTATTTTCTTTAACAGTTCCTGTGTCTTTGGGAATAAAACAAAATGCATTAAAAACATTTAAATCTACTACAAAGTTCAAACTTATTACTTCCAGTTCAGAAATTGGTATTTTCCACAATTTCATGTTTGTTATTTTGTGCATTAATAAATTAAAAAAAAAAAAGCCAATGAGAGACGTAAGAAAATCTTACCAAAAAAAAGAAAAAGAAATTCACGCAGGCAAAGCAGGAGCAAAATACCCCATCTCCCAAGCCCCTTCCAACAGCCCAGCAGTGGCCCCCAGGGCAGGACTTACGTGCGTGGCGTGCTCTGTGCTTGTGAGGTCTGCTGTGATCCCTTTCTGAGCGTGGATCTTCTCCCTGCTCTGTGCCTTCTGATGAGACTGCAAAGGATACCAGAGAAGGAGGTGCTTCTGACTGCCCTCCTTCCACTGGAGAATCCACACACCCCTTTCCTGCCTGAAGCCTGCTCCCTTCCGTCTTCTGCCTATCAGAGCAGTCGAAGATCACTTCCACTCGGGGCAGCCCGGTGTCTCCTGCTTCACTTCCCTGGATCACTCTCAACTCTTGGCCACTGGAGATCTGGATTATCTTGCTGGACCTCAGACAAGACTCCCCTTTCTCATTAGTGGGGACAGAATTTATGTGGACGATCCCATCATGCTGTAAATTAGGATCTTGGTCAGGAGGCTTAGATTTTTCAGTTCCCAGGAGAGCCACTACAGGGGCACTAGTGCGCTTGTGTCTCTCTTGTGAAAGGGACAGTTGTAGCTCAACCACGGTGCCTGGCTGCCCCGCTTCTGCCTTCTCCCTTAAGATAACCTCTTCTGGTAAGCGTCCACTTTTAGAGTCATACGTGTGAGGAGCCAGGCCTGTTTCTTCTTTTATGCTCCCAGAAAAACCAGCACCACTTGCTTGGTCCTCAGCTAGGGGAGCTCCACTCTTGACCTGGGCAATGTAGAACTCCCTGTACTGGCTCTTTGTGGCTGGTCGAATCTGTAGGGTGGTACTTTCCACGTACCCTTCATGGATGAGACGCTCGTGGTTTTTGTTTTCAGTTTCAGAGTTCAAAGTCTCACTTATTCCACTGGATGGTCTGCACACAGAAAAATCAGTCCAGACAGTTAAATCAGAGTGTGTTACACCTGCCAAAGAACTTCCTGACACTTTTATGATGTCTAATACAGGATACAATAAAAATATTTCCTCTTAAATGTCAACTGCAACATATTTGAAAACAGAAATTGGCAACATGTTTATATTATTATTTAAAGATCTTCCAAATAAACTTGTCTTTTAAAGCAAAGCAAAAATGCTCACAAAAGGTTATGAAACGGAAATCCATCCTAAATTCAGCTTTTATTTTTTTCAAAGCACAAGTTATAGCTACATGGATGCCCTTCATCTATAATTATTGGGGTGTTTTCAAATAACCATGCTTGTTATAATATGACAAAGCATTTTAATGTCTTATTGACTAAGTTTAGGTCTGGACATTATAAAGTCTCATAAACATATTCAGCAGCTTCAGAGCAATATTAATATACAGATAACTCAAGTAATTCTTTTAGAGGCTGTGCTTTCTTGAAAGGAATGAAATAGAAGCTGTTTTTTTAAGCTCCAATGAGCATGTGTTTTGTAATAAGTGGACCCCAGCCCAGTACTCTTGTGTAAAGAGAAATCCTTTCCATGCTGCAATGAATCATTGAGTCATGGAGTATTTATAATCTGAGATGTCTCCCCTTCTCTACTTGAACTTGCTCTCTTGGAGCATTTTCCTTATAGGATCTCTGAAGTCAAACTGTTCCTTAATCTCTCAGCTAAGGAGCCCACAGCTGTTCACCACAGCCCTTTGATTTTGACCTTTACCATTCCCAGATAGTTTTGCAAATTTGGGTTTGCAAGAAGCAGTGTCAGTTAAGGGTTAAACAACTTCTTGCTAAAACTCTAATTTAAACTCTAGCTGCTTTTAGAAGAGAAGCATCATTCACAGAACAGCTGTAGGAGATGCCTTCATTTCTTACATTTGTAAGTTTTTTAAAGAAGCAGCAGCGCCTATCTTGGCCCCTTTCTTCTTCCCACAAAATGTACCCTAACTAACGCAGGGTCATCAATTGAAGGGAGTGAGCCCCTACTTCTATTCTACTCAAGGGAATTTACCTTTGAATTTAAAATTTAAATTTAAAATTTAAGACTAATATTCAAAATAATTACTCCTAACTTTGCTTTTGACTGCATTTAGCAAAACAAAAATAAACAAAACACAAACTAACAGTCAAATGAAATGCAGCTTTCTCTATGCAAATAATCTGTAAAGCTTCCTGGTAATACCAAAAAAAAATTATAATATAGTATTTTTTAAACATGTTGAAAGCAAATTAGATCTTCCTTTTATAGGAAATGATGAATACACTGTATGCAACTGAATTTGAGGGTACCAAAAGGCCAGAGAGTTTTAATTTAGGAAGGCCTTGAGATGGAAGTAGATTAAATCACTTTGAATTATGTTAGCAATCAGTTATGAAGCTGAGAAGAGAAAAGTTTGAATTCGTTCCAGCCTTACACACTGTAATACAGGCAAATGGGTCAGATAGATGATAACATTTATTGGTAGCCAAGGTAAAATGGATAGCTGTACATGAATAAAAATCATAAAAGAACTAGAGGTTAAAGCTTTATACCTTAACATGCTCATTTCCATTCAGGGCACATAGGTACTCAATTCCACAATTTATGTGTCATAATTATATGGGTATATATATATAATCATTTAAATGAAATTTACCGTAATAGAGACAATGTTAAAGGAGGATTTTTTTAAGGTAGTCTGACCCAGCTATCTCTGGGCAATAGTCCAGGAAAAGTAAATCGCTTGTCCTCTAGGGATAGACAACAGTTACATGAGTGAGAGAAATATTTAATTCCAGGAAACAATGTTCAGTTACCCAGATTGGTAGTGGTGGTGGTGGTGGTGGTGGTGGTGATCATGATGATGATGATGATGATTACCTTTGGGCTGATTTTAATTTGAGATTCCATTTTGAATCTCGTCAATTATTTATTTATTTTTTAAAAGGAAAAATAATAATAATCATGATTCCAGTTCTTAAAAGTAGCAGAGAACGAGTCTATTTATTTCTGAAAGTAAATAGGTACCTAAGACTCAACTTTAAACCATCAAGGACTTTCCCAATGGTAGTCAATCATAATCAAAACAAAAACTAGTAGGGGATGTCTCAGACTACAAGTGTGTTCTGAAGAGACTGGCCTCATTAAATCAGCAAAGACACTACAAGGGAATAAGTTAGAAAAGGTTTTTCTCCCATTTTGGATGTGATTGAACACTTCAGATACCTCAGAGATTGATGCATAATAATGGCCAACCCTGTGACTACACTTGGCAACATTACTGTTAGATCCCTTTTAAAAGCAAATGTCAGCTTTATAAATAAGTAGGATCCCAGGGGCTTAAACACTGGGCTTGAAGGGTAAATATTTAGATGGGAGATTCTGAGACAAATGCTAGATTTCTTTTATTTTCACAAAATTTTGGCCAAAGTGAGTTCACATTTGTATAGAAATGGAATCATATTGAATGATTATCAGAGGGGTAATGCTGTACGTAGTCTTTCTGCAGAGTTAAGGCAAAACCTAGAAGATTTTGAAATTCTTTGTGAAAAGTCCTTCTCTTGTCTTTCTGAAGGCTGCTCTTTAGGAAGCCAGAGTGTTCCTTTGTGGATTCATTATAATGCCATGGTCAGGGCCTCATTTGCAAAGTTAATGTGGACTATACTGCTATTTGCACATGGTAAAAATGTTGATGCTATAGTTTTTTGTGATTACCCTCATTGTTTTCTTTTGTTTTTATGTTTAAAGTTTACTTCTGCATTTTTAAGCAATTAGGTGAGGAGGGTAATTTGGAGAGATCAAATTGACAAGTGATTTGCATTGATAGTCCAAAAACTAACCATCAGCTTTTGCCCATATCCAAATACTGGTTTTTCTGGCAAACAGAAATTGGACTGCTTTTAAGGGTTTCTTGGTTCTTTTCCTTCTCCTAGGCATCCTCTTTCTATTCAAATAAATATTATACAGTATAACATTGTGACATTTAAACATTTTAAATTAATCTAGGAATCTAGGAATTTTAATTTAGTGATCCTGACCCACCAAAACATCTTGACCTAGAAGTATTATGTTCAATATACTGAGCTTCCTAAGGAAGTAGTCTAAAATACCTAAGATTTTCAACAGAGTTCTTGAAACAAAATCTTCAAGTTAATTCTCAATTAACCAGAAAATTCAGTTGATTAGAATTGCCATTTTTCAAACACTATGATTTTTCTGTTTAACTATACTGACCTACGGAGCACCCTCATTTCCCCACAAATAACAGTTTATATGGTAGTAGGAGCTATAGCTTTCCCATGTAGCTTCGGGAGAAAATATACATTCCAACGAATCTTCTTACCTTTTGACGAGCATTTGGAGAGAGTCTGTTATGCTCTCCATGAGCTTGACGACTTCTGGGTGGGTGAGGTCTGCACAAGGACTGCCATTGATAGAAACCACTTCATCCCCCTCACAGAGCCCAGACCCGGAGGCTTTGCTCTGGCTTCGGATCTGAGTGGGGTGAAAAAGGAGGCAACAGTTAGAATTATATAACATAAAAAAACGCGCCACTATCTCTGAGAAATTTCTACTTGGGAGAGGTAAATAGATCTTCAGACTGTAAAAGCAGCCCTGAGTTTTAATTTACCTGTTAACCTATAAGACCATCTTAAACACTTTTCACCCGTTAACGCACAATTTATTATACACCATAATGTCAACATTTAATTCATAGCATTTTAAGTAAACAGAAAAAAAGGAAATCAAATCTATGGTGAAGGAACTAGAAAAACAGAAGTAAAGAATAGTGAAGAATGGAGGAAGACAGATGTTTAAACTGATTATACGTTAAAAATAATTATTTCACACTGTGAAGCTTGATCCAATCAGAAAGTGGCTTCTCCCATTAAAATAAAATTTAAAAGCCCTTCTCATTGCCAGGGTGGATGGAACACCAAATGTAAGAAGGACAGGTAGGGCAGGACAATCAATTTAAGGAGATAGCTGTACAGCTCAATGAACTGACGAAAGCCATCCCGGTAAAATGGGGAAATTAGGCAGCAGGATATTAAGAATTACATCAGAGGGAGAAATCCTTCATTGAAATCAACTATTCAGGACTTGATAATAAGCAAACTTTAGCAAAAAAGAAAGAAAAAAAAGGGATTATTTTGCAAAAAAACAGAAACAGCCCTGCTATAAGGATTGCATCATATTCCAGCACAGATTCAGTGGGACAAGAAATGACTAAAAACCTAGAAGAGAACCTTCAGATCCTGGAAGAAGAGAAATTCAGAGGAGTAGAATAGCAACAGAGCTCCTACCAGTCCTTAGTGAAGAATAACATTCAGTTATTCCTGGAGGTTTACATTCTGTATAATTATGATTATGGTAAAATGCTGTGCTGGTTATTATCCGTCTGCCCTTCCAGGCCCATCCTCTACCCTCCCTGGCGCCTCTTTATGGCAGTGGGAGGATTGGCCTGTAGAGACTGCAGTGACCAAGTTCCCTTGCCTGCCAACTCCTGGTTGGATTTGGTCAACGGGAAGCCCCAGTAAGAGATCTAAGAGCAAGGGAAATGAGAGGTCAGGGAGGTGTTCTCCCTGCAAGACCTGCTGGGCCAGGATTTGGCAATGGCTTTGCTCCTTGATCTAGACAGTTAGAGCTCTTGTCCGTCTGTCCCTCTATCGTGCCTTAACTCTTGTTATATTCCAATAACACACACCATCTCTTTGCATCTTCAGGCCTAAGGGTAATAATAGCTTCCTGCTCTTGATCTCTGGGTGCTTCATTATCATTTGTTGGTTCACTTGAGCCTGCCTTTAGTCCCTGCATTACATTATCTTTAATTACTCCTTTGAGCAGGCCACCTATTTCCTGCTAGGACCCTAAATGATACTAATGTGTTTAGATTTCATTTTATAACGTGAATTTAATAGTTCTCAATGAACCATGTATCATGATCATACAATCTCAAATTTAAGAATACTTTAAGATAATCTTATATACATTTTCTACCAAGGGGAATCCCTGTTTGACTATTAAAATTAAGATTCTGAGTCCAAAGAGGCCAAAACCAGGTAAGCAGTGCTTCTTGAAGAATGTTTTCATAGCCAGGCTCATTTCTGATTTGGCATAAAATGTATTTCAATTTATCTCTAACAGATGCCCACAAATTCTTGCTAAGGTCTTAAATGATAATTAATATACTGACTGAAACAGGTTTAAAGTTTATATCTCCAAGTGCATTTATATTTTAAATGATACTCTTGGAAGCAGAAGCATATCTTTAAGTGCCAAAGCAATGATGCTATTGAAATTTGAAGTGATTCAGTTAGTTTTGTTCTGGGAGGGTCTATCCTTTTAATACTCATTCCTTTTGTTTTGAAAGAATACACTAATTTATTGCAAAAATTAAATGAACTCAATATTTCCAAGGCTATAAGGAAGCAACAAAAGCAATGAGAAAGAGAATTTCACCCAGTTTTGAAAAATATTTGTTTATTGACTGCCAAATATATTTTTTTGTTGTCTTGCATGATATTATTAAAATAAAGAATCATGAGAGAGTTGTTAATAAGTCAAGAATAAAACAATGCTCAACAATGAACATTTAAGTTAGGAATAGAGTTATTCACATTTCATTTAAATTTATTTAATTTTTTTAAATAAAATAAGATTAGGTGGATAATAAAGCATGTTTCTGAAGCATAAAACCATTCATCCAGTGGGGTCAGATGTACTAGAGTACAAACAGAAAATTCATCCTTTTGAGAACCAAAGGGGTTTTATGTTGATAAAACAGATGCGTCATCATACCCTGTACCCCGGCCCCCACCAGGCCCAATCCTGAAGCTGGGGTTCCGTTTATCAGCAATAAGTTGTGTGAGTTTTGAGCAGCTTCGTGGGTTTGCAGAGCAAGATGAAAAATTGGTCCTTGGAAAAAAAACGAATCCACAACTTAATAGAGCTGTCTATCATCCAAACATGTGTTGCTTGATGGGAAAAGTGCAGTTCATCATTATGCTTGTCAAGTGGAGCTTTTAGTGGTATCCAAATCAGCAAAAGCACTATGGTAGGAGCCATTAGCATTCCTTCAGAGTGTACATTCTGAGGTCAACATTTGGAATCAACTGCTGTGATTGTGTTTAGCTGAACTTTTACATTTGTCTGAACAGCAGGAAATATTTTTTCCCTCAAGAACCATGTTAAATATGGTGATACTTTCCTTGCCGCAGAGACTTTTCTAAAGGACTACTCTTTCTCCATTTTTAATAGGACTAAACTAAACAAAGGTTATATGCCAAGTCAATTATGCCCAAACATACCCCTTGCAATCACCAACTTCACCAATATGGTTCTGTTCATAGGTGTATTATGAAGAATAAACATTTATTAGGATACAAAAGATCTTTACCTTATATTGTGTATAATTATGCATTTTTATAATTTGTATAATTGTGCATTATTATGTATCTGAGTAAAAATTCTATTCCCTGAAAACATTCTTACTTGTTAAAATGAAATACATTGTCAGTAAAAAGAGTAAGTTTGCATGTAAAAAGCATTACTATTTATAATGCTGAATCTCTATCAGTGAAATTATCAACCAGTCTTCTCCTCAAGCCATTAGTCCTAGATTCATAAAATATGTGTCCTAGTGGAAAAGAACACCAACTCTGATGAAAGAAGACATAGGATTCAATTGTGTGGCTCCAAAGCTTGCTAACTCTCTGAACTTAGATGAGTTACATTACATCCTTAAGCTCTAGTTTTCTAAAGTGTAAAATAGAACTAATAAATTTGATCTCTCTAGATGGTTAATCAGGATTAGAAATAATATGTGTTAAGTTCCATGATGCACATACAGCTCATAGAAGTGCTCAAGAAGGGACTAATGAATAAGAATGCATTGACTTCCTACACACACACACACACACACACACACACACACACACACACACAAAAAGAACATGCCAAGTAAAAAGAAAAACCGTAAAATGTTAGTACTTTGTCTATAAGATGTTTGAAAATATCTGGATTTACTTTCAGTTTTTATCCACATGCTTGGCATTATCTTATCATAATCTAAGATAAACAATGTTTTATCTGTCTTTTCCTCAGTGAGTACACATTTCATAACTGAAATATGGAAGAGAAGACAAGCCTATTTATTGTTTCCCAGCAGAAGTAATAATACAAATATTTAAATATTAGTGGCTTGTTTTTATTGAGCACTTACTATACTAAGCCCTTTACATCCTTAAACCATTTATCCCTATAAAACATTAATGAGAAGTATAAATGTACTTCTACTTGTATGTGTTCAGATGTTCTGTCATTACTCTCATTTTTATGGATCGGAAAACAGAGACTCAGAAAAGTTAGGTAATTTGCCTAAAATCACACAGCTAGGACCAGAACTTGAACACAGGGATTTTGACTCCAGGGCTTGTGTTTTTAACCATTACACATACTGCCTATCTAGTCGATAGTCTAAATTCTCTACCATGAGCCCTACAGTGAAGAGAGAGAGGAGTGCAATAACAATTGACCTACAGTGAGTAAAGTCAGGGAGGAAATGGGAGAGACTAGGAAGAAGTGATAGAAACTTGCCTGGTCAGTCCATAAACCAATGTTGGGAAGGACAGGGTTTTTTTATTTTGTTTTCCTTCTTCTTCTTCCTCTTTTATTATTTTAAGAGTTATATATATGTAATATTCTTTAAAGATTTTTCAATCTTTAATTTTTAATTGTCAATTTTATGACCCAATATGTTACAAATTCAAAATTGAGTAAAACTGTGTTTTGCAAACTGTGATTTGAAACAACATGCCTATGTGAGCATGTAATATAACTCCCTTTCTTTGAAAACATTCCCTTAGAGACCTCATTCCACACCTAATACATTAGTCAGATGAGTGAGTTTCTATCCATAAATCCTGTATTCCCTTTCAGTGTCTCTCAGTTTAATCAGAGCACAAAACTAAGAGAGATATTGGTAATGTAGATATTTACCAAATACTGTGTTTTATTGTTTACAGCCCCTTGATCCACGTCAGGAAAGATTTATTTTACTGCAACCAAGTGAAAATGTAAAGTCAAGCCTTATTTAGGAAATTTAACAACATTATTTCATTTCATAAACTAAATCTGAGAAGAATGTCAGCTACGCTCATTTACTTTTATGATAAATAATTCCCTGGTAAAATGAAAAAAGCTCCATTTCTATTAACTTATTATTGATTCACGTCCACGTCTTCCAGAACTGACTAGAAAGCAAGTACCAGGTTTGAGTTCTCACAGAACCTTGTACTTAAACTACTTTGTATTGTGTATATGACGTATCAAGTGTGTCAGATTCCTGTTAGCGAAACTAAATCTTGTCTCATGGGCTGCATTTTCACATACAGTTCACTGACAAGTCCTCTTGGAAGATGTCAGAGTAAGTGGTAGAACCGAGACAGTCTCCTCTTTAAATTCCACTACTATATGTATTAAAATACATGAAAGAGAAAGAGAAGATAGCATAAATTAACCTATCTTATGCAGGGCTATTCTTAATCCATAAAATAAAGTCTTGGGACCTGGAGATAACTAAGACAGGATGAAATACATGATCTCAGACAAGTAAAAACATTTTGATGGAAGCTGGAAAATAGTCTATGATCTAGTAGCTCTTTCTGAAGCCCCAGCCCTTCCTCAGTTTTCCACTTCAGGCCTTTGGCAAAACTTCCCTCATACTTCTAAGACAAAATTTAATAAGCATTCCCTCACCCCAACTGGCTCTTAAACCAAAGACTTAGATAAGTCTGTGTTTATCAGCTGTCCAGTGAAATGGTCAGAATGGTCACTGGAAGGTACAGCAAGAGCAATGATGATGGTTAAAGTTTTAGAAATAAGTAAATAATCCTACTTTTAATGGGCTTGCTTTCCAAATTCTGAACTCCAACCTCAGCCCTTGAAGGGGGGTTTCCTAATAACAAAACTGAGTTTACAAGTTGATGGGAATTCACGTTCACAGTGGTACAATATTTTTGGAAATCAATAGCAAATAGCAATGTAACAGTTTCCGAATGACAAGGCAAAAGAAAACAAGGACCAGAACACAATGGAATAAAAATAATAATAAACCAAGAAAAATCTTAATAGTAGGAAGCAAAAGCATCTTGGAATTCAGTGCAGAAATTCAAACAGCAAAATGGAAAAAAAAGACTTGAGGACATATCTAGACTATGGGGAAAATAAACAAGAAATATAACCAGTAACTGAGTAAATAAAAAGTCGGAGAAAACTGTGGCAAAGAGTTGAATGGATTGCTCGACTTTTGTCCCAAGCCCCCTTGAATATGCCTTGCGTGCAACAGAAGCTGAGAAGATAAAATAACATTTCCCAGACTCTCCTTCAGCTAGGGTTCTGGGTGTGATTTAATTTCAACAAGCAGGTGTACCTGCGAGAAACTTGCACTTGAAATTGAATTAAATGGAGAGAGGCATTACACTGTGAGGCATCCATCTTGCTGGTGCAGATCTGGGAGATGATTCTCCTCTGGCTACAGCAGTTCTGCTGGCAGTTTCTTAATCCCAGATCACAGCTAAAGTGTGTAATCCTAGACCTAGCACTGGGCCAGCCCAATAGCTTCCTGACCCCTTTAGCTTCCTGATTGTGGCAAATGTTGCCAATCCCTTGGGTAGCCGGTTCTACAGTGTTGTTTGAAGTCATTTCTGGAGGCCCTGCCTAAAGCCTGCCTTTCCAGATCTTTCAACAATTCTGTAAGTACTTCTTATATTCCTTTTCTCCCTAAATTAACTAGAGAGTTTTCTATTTCCTGCAAATGAACCCTGAGCTGATACAGAAAGATAGAATCAAGGGCAAACATAGAAGGTAAAAAAGGACAAGAGCTAAAACAGCAACTATTTCTCAGATACAGAAAAGAAAAAAAGATGGACACAGATGCTGATATCTCAAGACAGACAGGAGAGACAATGCAGGAAAATGCAGGAACTAACACCAGATAAATTGTACGAGGTCACCATCTGCTAAGAATACAGGAGGAAAGGCAGAAGGGGATTAAAACTTGAGGACAATGAAGTTCAGAAAAACCACTGTAGAGTACGTACTAGGAAGTTAATATGAGAGAAATAAAAGCTTTGTGAAGAACTTAGAGGGAATAAAGTAAAATGATTATTAATATGCACTGTTGTTCAGACAAATGTTCTAAAAGGAGAGTAGATAATTTCTAAAATGAAGCGAGGCTTTTCTCCATTAAAGCATTGATAAGTATATGAAGAATTGAATAAGAAATTCAATTATACAAATTGTCTAAAAATAGTGAAAATAATTCTTAAAATGTATATTCAAGTTGGGTCATGGATGCAAATACAAGTAGACACTAGGATTTTTCAGTTATTCTACACTCAATTCCTCAATTCAAACTCAATAACCTGTTTCTCATATTGAGTTTTGAACATTATGAACTTTTCTGCTCTGGTCAGTAATATAGGTCCAGATACTGGGCAAAACGTTTTCCTTTTGGATGATTGTCTTTATCCTTAGGGACCAAGTCACCATAAAAGTAAAAAGCATTCCTGGTAGCAACTTTGGAAAGATTCCTGAAGTAAATAACTCTCTTTTAACAGGAATGAGGGCCCTAATCCATGGGGCTGCATACTTAAGAATCTGCATACCAATGTGATTCCACAGGCAGAAACGATGCTGCAATATAACTGCTATGAGCCGTTATAAAGCAGCCACCATGATGCTAGAAAACCAACAAGTACAAATATGGAATGGTATTCTCTGCTCTTCTTTTCTCCCTAAGAATGTAAACATCCCAGCTCTTTCAGAAAAACACTGATGGACCAGAGCCTTAGGTAGGACATGTCCCTGTCTGCTTTTTTGTTTGATTAAATTGTGAAAGATTGCACAGAGGCTTTGAACTATAGGCAGATTCTTTTTATAAATATTTATACAGAATATTTTTTTAAAACTTTTAAAGACCTCATTGAAAAAGCACATGTAAAACCTAAAAGATTAGATAAATAAGTAGTCAGTATAATCAGGATGACTCAGAAAAGAGAGCAGAAGTAGAACTCGCTGTTTGGGTTTCTCAAGTCTCTGTTCATATTTATTAACTGCACGCCCAACAGTTAACTAAATGATTATTATGCTGCAGTACCTCATCTATTAGGAATTTAGTTATCTAAAAAACTAAGTAAGCTCAACAGTCTTTTGAGTGGTCAAAATACAATAAAAAAGTTCACTAAAACTTCTACACATCACTGTAAGTGTCTGGGATCATTTTTCAGTCTATTTGCTCAATTTTAAACAATTCTGATAAGCATTTTGTTTAGTTTACAGAAAATTAGAAATGGGGAGACAAACATGCACACTGTATAAAGATGTCACAGTTCACACACCACCAAAGCAAGGAAGCAAAAGGCAACATTTAAAAACACATGAAAATCTTTAAAAAAAAAAAAAAAAGACTCAGAATACATTTAATGAAAGTGTAAAAAACTTTCACATGCTCAATGGGACTTAGTGCCTCTGCTGTATTTGAGTAAAATAATGGGCATTAATAATAATGATCGCAATTCATTTAAAATATTTAAATCACCTTAGTAGCCTAATTAGATGCAAAAACACATGTGACATCTTTTAGAAAGAGTACCATTCCAAACAGCTAAAATAGAAGTTTTTTTATTTAAAGGTAAAACTAGGCCTGAGGCATTGTCATATTAATAAAGTGAAGGAACTGGATTAGAATTCATAATCTGAGGTCCTTAATACTTTGCTTGTGTTGGTGTTTTTACTGAAATTGTTTCATTTCAGACACTGAATATGTCTCATGTACCCTGAAAAATGTATCTGTTTTTCCCTACCTCTAGATATGCTCGTGCAGGGGCCGGGAATGTTAATCAAGGACTATGTTCTTTCAGGGAAGGGCCAATTTAAATAACCTCCTCCAAAGTTTTAGTTAACTGGAACTTCAGTCAATCATTAGTATATAAAAATGTGTGACCTAAAGCAGCAATTCTCAAACGTTTTGGTCTTAGGACCCATTTACACTCTCAAAAATAACTGAGTACTTAAAAAATATTTTGTTCTTGTGGGTTCTATCTATTGGTATTCACCATGTTAGAAATAAAAAGATATTTAAATCTTTTGTTTATTAATTTAAAAATAAAATAACAGTATGTTAACACAAATGTTTTATGAAAAATAATCATGTTTTCTAACACTAAGATAATTTGATGAGAATAGTGACATAGTTTTCTATTTCTGTAAATCACTTTAATGTCTGAGCTTAATAGAAGACAGCTGAATTCTCATGCGTGCTTCTGCATTCATTCTGTTGTGTTACATTGTGTTGATTGAAGTGTATGAAGAAGATCTAGCTTCACATAGATAAACAGAAAAGGGAAGAGTATTTTAATAGCCTTTTCAGATAATTTTGGATATTCCTTGATACTACATCAAATTCAGTAAGTGGCAATTTCTCAAACTGCAATGTGGAATCTGAAACCATAGCAATGAACTTTCCATACTTCATTATATTAAAATTCTTTAGTCTGTTTTGCACTTTGCGGTACGCGGGCCTCTCACTGCTGTGGCCTCTCCCGTTGCGGAGCCCAGGCTCCGGACGCGCAGGCTCAGCGGCCATGGCTCACGAGCTCAGCCGCTCCCCGGCATGTGGGATCTTCCCAGAACGAAGCACGAACCCGTGTGCCCTGCATCGGCAGGCGAACTCTCAACCACTGCGCCACCAGCGAAGCCCCTGTTTTACACTTCGGATAGATCTTTAGTCCATCATGATTCTGTTACATCACGCACTAGTCATAGAAAATATTGGTTCACTGAGTTATACAGATCTTCCAAACGTTGACACATTTAATCATACAGTATACAAAATCCCACCTCTTAATCTCATCAGTGATCTCAACAGAGAAGTCTTTAAGTATTGGGAAGCTGTCAAATTCACGGTGGCAGGTGCAACTTTCTAATTTTCCCTTGAAAGCTCGAATACTGTCAGTTGTTTTCCTCGAAGTGACAGGCTCACTTGGCTCATTTTCCAGAAGGTGTCTACTGAATACCCAAGTCTAAATAACCATAGTTTGTCTGTCAGTCATTCTTTAGGTAAAAATGATGTTCCATGAAAAAAATGACTAGTTGAGTTTGCAATTCAAAAAATTATGCACGTGCTTCCTCAACACAAATATTCAGAGTGCTTTACATGTATCCTCATTTTGTCATGCAGAATATTAAAAAGATGTGTGCTCAAGATTTAATAAAATGCAAACTTTTACAGCTTTACCAAGGACATTCTTACATGAAACCAGCATCTTGTTTCTTAAGTCAAATGGTGACAGTGATGAATACAACGACTTCTAGTACAGGTAGGTGTCACTGCCTCAAATGCTAAAGTGTCATCCACCTTTGCTTTTACACCATCAGTGCAAATGTCAACAGAGTGAAAAAAGACAAACAATGTCTTAGTACCATTATGAAAATCATTTAGATATCACAGATCCCCTGAAAGCATCTGAGAGACCCCTAGAGGTCTACAGACTACACTTTGAGAACTACTCATCTAAAGGGACAGGGATGCGTGATATGCATCTTTGCCCTCTTGGGTATCTGAGTTTGAGAAGAGGAAATTTCATCAAAGGCAATTCAGAGACAAACAAGAGTAAGGTCCAGCCTAGGGAAGAAAGGCTGACAGAAGCCAGGAAGTGATACCTTTTAAAAGCATGTGCTAAGAGAGCATGCCACAACCATGAATTCAGATAAAACATCACTCTGGTGATCTGAGGAAAAGGAGAAGCAAGCAGTTTCAGCCCAGATTCCAAGTACATTCTCAGAAGAGAGGAGAACAAAGGGGAGAATAAAATCTTAATTGGGCTGGAGTGTCAAGGGTGCTTTTTTTTTTTTTAACATCTTTATTGGAGTATAATTGCTTTACAGTGGTGTGTTAGTTTCTGCTTTATAACAAAGTGAATCAGCTATACATATACATATATCCCCATATCCCCTCCCTCTTGCGTCTCCCTCCCTCCCACCCTCCCTATCCCACCCCTCTAGGTGGTCAAAAAGCACCAAGCTGATCTCCCTGAGCTATGTGGCTGCTTCCCACTAGCTATCTATTTTACATTTGGTAGTGTATATATGTCCATGCCACTCTCTCACTTCGTCCCAGCTTACCCTTCCCATTCCCTGTGTCCTCAAGTCCATTCTCTAAGTCTGCATCTTTATTCCTGTCAAAAATAACTTCCATTCAGTTTCCAAACTACTGGCTGGTTGAAATTCATTGAGAGCTGTGACTGCAATACAAAGATCTTTGTATCTTTTATAACCCAATGTATGTATTGTGAATATAGGCGTGCAATAAATATGTGCTAAATACTATTTTCTATGTATTCTTTCTTTGTAGTCTCTTTTAGGTTTAAGATTACTACAAAAATATCATGTGATTAATGGGAAATTCCCAGTGTATTTGTGGAAGAGAATTGGTCCTATCAAATACTGGACATCAGAGATAACTGAGTTTTCCCCAGCAAAGGGGATGGCCACACCATGACTCAATAAGCAGCTCTGCAGCTGCTCCTGCAAATCACTCCGTTTCACCATCAGTCTCCTGGCCCCATAAGAGGTAAGGTCACAGGTAACCAGTAAAACATAAAACTTTATGTGGGTTTGGTTGCACTTTATGGAGATAAGCACATGAGCAGAAGCAGTGTGAGGCGCTGGAGCTGAGGCACTACCACAGGTGCTGTTGCAGTTCCTATGTGCTCTGTCTGCCTTGGAAGCTCCATGTAAGCTGGGTAGGCTATGGAAGTGGATTGCCAAATCCCGTACTTCAGGAAGGGAAATCAGGGTCATGCCAAGTGCCCTCTGTGTCCATGTAAGTGTTCTGTTGATGCATTTTAAAACCAGTCATGCTCCTTGCTGGGATTGACCAATTATTTTCCTATTTATTTCTGATTAAGGAGAGCCTACATGAATGTCATCACCTTGCCAAAAAATTCTGGGTCAGAGCCAGCCAAGGAGAGCCTTCCAGAGGCAGGCAAGAACCCTCAGCTACTCTCACTTTTTACCTAGCTGGAGGTCAGTGTTGAATTTACAAAGGAAATAGAGTTGGAGCTTGAGGCTTTGCTTATGTTACCTTATTTAATTAATTAGTTAAGTAATAATCCTACATATTCACTGATTGTCTTTCATGGACAGAGTTCTGAGGTCTGAAGTACAATCATGAGTATTGCCCTCAAGAGCTTTATATTCTAAGATAGACAAGAAAGTAGATAAGTGTAACCCAATGTGACAACTGCTATGATTAAAGTTAATGCAATATGCAAGGGGGAGCACACTGCAGCGTCACAGCCAAGGATAACTGGACGAGGGAAGATTTTCTAAAGGACACATAAATATTAGCCTCACGAGGAAAGGTCAAGGGGAGTCAGAAACACAAAGGCCTAAGAACCTAGCATGCAGCAAATTCTCAGTCAGTGCTGGTTGGATGAACTATCTTTTCACAATGCAATGCTGCCTCCTATTAATACTGCAGTTTCTTGTAGAGCACTTCAAAACAAATGCCTGTTAGCTCACCTACAAAATGGCTAGGAAAATCCCATCTTTGCTATTCAAACAGCATTGGAACCACCTGGGGACATGTTAGAACCACAGAATTCCAGCCCCCAACCCAGACGAACCACAGTCTGCATTTTAAGATCCCCTGGTGATTCATGTACACATTAGGGTTCAAGACTGTGCTGTTCCAAAGGCTTGTCAACCAGTGATGGCCTTCTAGGACAGTGGTTTATAACCTTTGGGAACATCAGACTCTATGGAGAGGACTTTCAAAATGCAGAAATCCAGTTTTTATTCCCTTTTCTTCCACAAAAACCAAATCTTGGGGGCTGGGACCTATGTATCTGCATTTTTAACAAACTTCCCAGGGAACCCTGAGGCCTGTTCTTTGACACAACCTGGTGTTATTTTCTATAGAATACTTTAGGGAAATACGTTAGGGGCCAACCATTTTTCTGTGTGTGTGTGTGTGTGTGTGTGTGTGTGTCTGTCTGTCTGTCTGTCTGTCTGTGTGTGAGACAAAAAGGCAGATCCTCATTGAATGACTTTCTTCCAAGTGATTATGTTATTAACTCTTTTGAGCTTCAAATAACCATAATTTTCAAGGAGACTAGAAGATGAGTTTATGATCATTAAGTGGTTTTTTTTTGCACATTCTTTTATTTTAACTATATAATTTTTATGGTTCTGAAAACAAACATGATCCAAAGTCAAGACTTTCTGGATTAGAAGTGGTGAACATAATATAAGCTAGAATGCTGCTAAAGGCCGCCTATGGGGAAAATTATAATCCACATTTTATCCCTAAGCAGATCATGCAGGCAACTAACTAGCTCTTCAAAACTACTCTATGTAGCCTGCAGCCATATAAAAACTCCAAGTACCATTTCACAGTACTTGTGCTAAATGTATAATGCAAATATAACAACACATTCAAACTTTGATTTACTTCAACTCTCAATATAACTTTTATTCTCTAGCTGGTCATAAAATTTAACATGCTGAAGACAAGGAATTCCCATTTGTTCTTGATTTTCATTTGAAACTAAATATTATGAAATTTTCATTTCTTCTCTATTATTACCTAAACCTGAAGCAAAGAAATGGCATTATCAAGCCTTGTTTTATAGGAAAAATGATCTCCACATTAATTAAATTAGTTGAGCATAATATAGCATCTTCTAATATTTGAAGGAAATGGAATAGTCAAATGGCAGATAAATATATTTAAGTATTTTAATGAGTTGAAGTTCAGTATAAAAGCACTTGGTATAACTCAAGCACACTACACAACATCCTCTATAAATTATACTTTTAAAGGAAAAAATAAACCGTATTAATTTCTTCAGACAAGGACTTTACTACTTTTACAAATTGTTTGTAAAAGAAAATTTAAGCAATATTGTCTCCTCCTCTTCCCATGAAACAATTTGGATTTGAATGAAAATATCAGATCACTACTTTTTTCAAATGAAATGGTTTGGCACTATCTTTCATAGTAACACAACATCTCTGTTACTGTTTGATCACATTTGTATTTGTTAAGACTCGCTTTCATTCAGAGTTTGCTTTAGAGAGAAATAAAAAGCCTCCATTTTGAAGGCATTCAACCATTCACCAAGTACTGTCTCCAGGAGCGGGTACTGCTCTGGGCTTGCCTTCCCCAGGCTAACTCCGGAGACCAGGAAGAACTTGGCAATTGAACCTAAATCTTAAAAGGCTGGTTATATGACATGCCTTGATAACCACAGAGAATCATCAGGATCCAGAGTGAGAGGGGCACTAAACCCACGAGGATTGATTTCATCCAACAACAAATTATGTATTAAGCATGTAGTATATGCAAGGTACTGTACTCTGAAACATATGAAGATTTTTATGGCAGAGTTCCTGAGCAAAGCTCTCAGAAGTGGAAAGCTGTTGCATTATCTGCTGCAGAATTTAGCCACCAATTTCTTTCATTTATTTGTCCGTCCTTCCTCTCCCCTCTCTCCCTTTCCTCTATCCCCTCCTCCCCTTCCCCTCCTCCTTCTCCCTGCCAATCTCTACCCCCCCACCTCTTTCTCTCTCTCTCTCTCATAATGATGTCTCTTATAAATTCTCCATGGACTACAATTATAGTTGATGGACTCAATCTACTTGTCATTTACAATGGTGTGAAAAGAGGTATCTTATGCTTGAGCCTACATTTAAGATCCATTCTCACAGATTCCTTTATTAACACACTTATATTTGACATGTCTATAGTCGTTGAAACAAAATATACACAGCAAAAGTATAAGACGATGTTATTAGCATATAAGTATATAAGCCAGATGTTCTGTCTGTTCCCCCAAATCAGTGTTTAAAAAATTGAGGGCTTCCCTGGTGGCGCAGTGGTTGAGAGTCCGCCTGCCGATGCAGGGGACATGGGTTCGTGCCTCAATCCAGGAGGATCCCACATGCCGCGGAGCGGCTGGGCCTGTGAGCCATGGCCGCTGAGCCTGTGCATCCAGAGCCTGTGCTCCACAACAGGAGAGGCCACAACAGTGAGAGGCCTGTGTACCACAAAAAAAAAAAAAAAAAAAAATTGAAATCCATATTAAAATAGGAAAATATAATTGGAGGAAATATGAATTGACACTCCTGCATTAAGAGCTAAGATAGAAACATGAAGAAGACCCAGGCCACAGGGAGCCTGACACTGGTGATAAGTACAATACTGTGCTGTGCTTTATAGAGTCCAAACTGAATTGTGGATTTGATTCCGAAGACTGTAATTATTTGCTAAGAAAATGATGACCATATTATGAAATCTAGATTCTGGCTTGTGTCATATAGGGCTTATATATAAATCTAAGTTCTTTATTCAGTCTCTGTTGTTCAATAATTTAAAAGCCAACCTCAAAAAAAAAAAAAAAAAAAGCCAACCTCTCAGATAAAACGGTATTACTTTCAGTTTTTTAACATTTTACTATGACCCTTTTCGCCCCATGCCCTCCATTTAAAAAAACGTTACTAGATCCACCAGAGGGCAGACAGCAGAAGCAAGAACTACATTCCTGTAGCCTGTGGAACAAAAATCACATTCACAGAAAGATAGACAAGATGAAAAGGCAGAGGGCTATGTACCAGATGAAGGAACAGGATAAAACCCCAGAAAAACAACTAAATGAAGCGGAGACAGGCAACCTTCCAGAAAAGAATTCAGAATAATGATAGTGAAGATGATCCAGGACCTCAGAAAAAGAATGGAGGCAAAGATCAAGAAGATGCAAGAACAGAAACTAACACATCATTGTGAAGCAATTATACTCCAATAAAGCTGTAAAAAAAAAAAAAAAAAAAGAAGATGCAAGAAATGTTTAACAAAGACCTAGAAGAATTAAAGAACAAACAAACAGAGATGAACAATACAATAGCGGAAATGAAAACTACACTAGAAGGAATCAATAGGAGAATAACAGAGGCAGAAGAACAGATAAGTGACCTGGAAGACAGAATGGTGGAATTCACTGCTGTGGAACAGAATAAAGAAAAAAGAATGAAAAGAAATGAAGACAGCCTAAGAGACCTCTGGGACATTAAATGCGAAAACATTCGCATTATAGGGGTCCCAGAAGGAGAAGAGAGACAGAAAGGACCCGAGAAAATATTTGAAGAGATTATAGTTGAAAATTTCCCTAACATGGGAAAGGAAATAGCCACCCAAGTCCAGGAAGCGCAGAGTCCCATACGGGATAAACCCAAGGAGAAACACACCGAGACACATAGTAATCAAATTGGCAAAAATTAAGACAAAGAAAAATTATTGAAAGCAGCAAGGGAAAAACAACAAATAACATACAAGGGAACTCCCATAAGGTTAACAGCTGATTTCTCAGCAGAAACTCTACAAGCCAGAAGGGGGTGACATGACATATTTAAAGTGATGAAAGGGAATAACCTACAACCAAGATTACTCTACCCAGCAAGGATCTCGTTCAGATTCGATGGAGAAATCAAAAGCTTTACAGACAGCAAAAGCTGAGAGAATTCAGCACCACCAAACCAGCTCTACAACAAATGCTAAAGGAACTTCTCTAACACAAGAGAAGAAAAGGACCTACAAAAACAAACCCAAAACAATTAAGAAAATGGTAATAGGAACATACATATTGATAATTACCTTAAACATGAGTGGGTTAAATGCTCCAACCAAAAGATACAGGCTTGCTGAATGGATACAAAAACAAGACCCATACATACACTGTAAAAAACACAAACACATGGAGGCTAAACAATACATTACTAAATAACCAAGAGATCACTGAAGAAATCAAAGAGGAAATCAGAAACTACCTAGAGACAAATGACAACGGAAACACTATGATCCAAAATCTATGGGATGTAGCAAAAGCAGTTCTAAGAGGGAAGTTTATAGCAATACAAACCTACCTCAAGAAACAAGAAAAATCTCAAACAATCTAACCTTACACCTAAAGGAACTAGAGAAAGAAAAACAAAGCCCAAAGTTAGCAGAAGGAAAGAAATCATAAAGA